CAAGTCCTTCCAGCCTCTCCTGAAAGCACATTCAGACTCCGCCTCAGTTCCCGTTTTCACCCTTTCCTGCCGGATCAGGAGGGAGCTGGGTCTCTAATTCTGGGTGACCAAAAACAATAAAATGCAGACTAGTAGCAGTGGAAAGAATGACTATTTAATAGCTGAGTGTAATGAGCAGACAAGGAGTGCTGGTTTCCCTAACACTTGCTCCACAGAACAGAGAAGAGGAAAATATTATTGTTACTCTGAGAGCTAATCACAGCCTCTATATTTCCCTCCTCACAAGACAGGAGGGCTGGTGGCCAAATCAGATGCGGCTTAAGCAGAGCTATGAAGTCTTGGACTCTAGGAGCACGACCGTCACTCAGCTGACTCCCTGCTGCTTGCAGGAGGGCAGGGGGAGGAAGGGAAAAGAATGGGGGTTGGGGGGACACAGAGCCTGGTGGGCAGAGCCCCTGCCTGCCAAGTTTTTCCTCTACGGGATTCACTGGCTGAGGATGCTCCTTGCTCTGACCCCGATCTTCACTCCCATGTCCCTGCTGTGGTACCCGGGTCCCTTGGAGGGTGCAAGCGGGGTTGCTAAGAGGGTGAGAATAGGGCCGGGAAGAGCAAAAGCAGATGCTCACCAGGTCAAGTTCCAGGAGGTCAGTCCTAGAGGAGAGAGTGATGGACCAGGGAGCTGAGGGGGAGAAGCCGGAAGGGTGTAGCTCAGTATGGACCACACCATGGAATATATTTTGAGGGAGTAGATATATTTTGATGGGGTGGAGACTGCCCCCCAGAGCAGCAATTCTCAGCCAGGGGTCACACGTTATGCTGGGGTTAGAGTACCTGAAAGAGTCACTTGGGCGATTTTTTTACACAGCACTGCCTACCCCACCCCAGCATCAGATGAATGCCTTGTCCAGGGGGAAATCCCCATACTTTCTCTTCGGGGCCACGTGAGCTCTGCCATTTGTTAATGGAAGTGTGCTGTATCCCTCAGAGGAAAGAGCTCATCCAGGGGAGAGAAGAGTGGCTCAAGGGAACAGTCACTCACGAGGAATGAGGGCAGGACAGACAGGCCCACGAGAGAGCACAGGTGGGTGGCTCTGTGTCAGAGCCCAGTTCACATGCCTGCTGCCACTGCCCGGCTAGACCAAGCACTCTATTTTTTTTTTTTTTTGGCTGTGTTGCGTCTTCGTTTCTGTGCGAGGGCTTTCTCTAGTTGTGGCTAGCGGGGGCCACTCTTCATCGCGGTGCGCGGGCCTCTCACTGTCACGGCCTCTCGTTGCAGAGCACGGGCGGCAGACGCGCAGGCTCAGCAGCCATAGCTCACGGGCCCAGCCGCTCCGCGGCATGTGGGATCTTCCTGGACTGGGGCACGAACCCGTGTCCCCTGCATCGGCAGGCGGGCTCTCAACCACGGCGCCACCAGGGAAGCCCTCATCTTCCTTCTTGTTGCAGGTTAGGACCGTGCACCTTGAACCCGTGCCCCGTGCAGAACGCGACAGCACAGAGCAGCCCAGGGTGGCTTGGAGGGGATGCAGCCCACGTTCTTCAGATATGGGGCAGGGACAGGTATGGGAGGCACATGCTTTAAGCTTGGCCTTGTCTGGTGGGGTTTACTGGGCCTCCCACGTTCTCTCACTCAGTCCTCCCACTGGGCAGGGCACTCGCTGGCAGGGTGAGGGGTAGCCCCGGGGCTGGAGAACACAGCAGACCCACCTGTGCCACCGTGGGCCTCGTCTAACTGGTGAGCATCCCCAGGCACCCTGGCCTCGGTGGTCTCTCAGCCAGTGCCCTTTCCTGCTCCCCGGGCCCCAGTGGCTTCAGATTTTCACGGCCTGAGCTGAGAGAGGGTGAGACCCAGGGACACAGCAGAGTAAGACACATCGGGGTAGATTTCAGGAAGAAACAGGGAGAGCGGAGGAGAGGGGCTCAGAGGGCCCACGTGTGGGCAGGCAGTGGAGGAATGGGGCGGACGTGGGTGGGGGGCGGGGTGGAAGGGGTGGACAGGAGGGCAGCTGTCGGGAGGAGGAACGTGGCTGCACCACTGCGTGGTGTGTGTGGCTGGAGATCTGGTGAGAGGCCGAGAGAGACTGTGCCTCCTTCAGCCCCGGCCGTCCCAGCCCAGGCTGGGAGGAGTGGAAGGAGAAAACAGGACAAATGTTGCCACCTCTGTTTATGCTGGAGAAGAATTCCCCACAGATCGCAAGCCATTCCTCCTGTTCTGTCCACCCTCAAGGCTCCTCTTCTCTCAGCCACTCCCCTCCGGCTCCCAGGGCCCCCTCCCTCCCTCCCCGCTGGAGATGGAGCCAGCGAGGCCTGAGACTCTAGGGAGGAGTTGACTTTCGGAAGGAGCGTCGTCATTTTAAATTGCACCCTCGTGTGCACGTGTGTCTGCTGCTCTGTAGGGGGAGGAGGGGAGTGGAGAGGAGACTCCTCCAGGTCAGCTGGGCCGGAGACTCGGGTGGGAGGGCCTGGGGCCGTGCGTGAGCCCATCTTAGTTGCCATCCCCCAGTGGACAACACAGACAGGACATGCACACTCCACCTGCCAACAGCCTGTGCCAAGAGGGCCACGCCCTTGTCCCATCTAATCTTTCTGATAATTTCCTATTCGATCCTCACAGAAACCCTGCAAGGTAGACATCATTTAAAATACTCCCAGAGGCTTCCCTAGCGGTGCAGTGGTTAAGAATCCACCTGCCAGTGCAGGGGACATGAGTTCAAGCCCTGGTCCGGGAAGATCCCACATGCCACGGAACAACTGAGCCCATGCGCCACAACTACTGAGGCCCTTGCTCCTAGAGCCCGTTCTCCACAACGAGAGAAGCCACCGCAATGAGAAGCCCATGCACCGCAATGAAGACCCAATACAGCCAAAAAAATAAAAAATGAAAACAAATAAATAAATAAATGTATTTTTAAAAAATAAAATACTCCCATTTTACAGATGAGAATACTGAAGTTCAGGAAGGTTGGGTGAGTTGCCCAAAGCTGGGAGGTTAGCTGGGACTTGAACCCAGGTCATCCTGATTTTAAAAACCAGTGAGGGGACTTCCCTGGTGGTCCAGTAGTTAAGACTCTGTGCTCCCAGTGCAGGGGGCCCGGGTTCCATCCCTGGTCAGGGAACTGGATCCCACGTGCTGCAACTGAGAGCCCGCACGCCGCAACTAAAAGATCCTGCACGCGGCAATGAAGATCCCACGTGTAGCAACTAAAACCCGGTGCGGTCAAATAAAAAAATAAATAAATATTTAAAAATAAAATAAAACCAGTGTTTTCTTTTTTTCCTCCCACTGCATCAACCCCCTTCAGGGGCTGCTCTCTCGCTGCCCCCATGGCCCCTCTCTCTTCCACTCCCATTTTGGGTGCTAGGGGACAGTCAAGGGCTAGATTCGCTGGTAGCCACTAGCTGCAAGTGGCTATTTACATTTAAATGAATTAAAATTAAGTAAAATTAAGAATTCAGTTCCTCCAGTTGGTCATACTAGCCCCATTTCAAATGTTCAGTGGCCACATGTGGCTCGTGGCTACTGTATTGGGCAGCACAGAGAGAGAACATTTCCATCATGGCAGAAAGTTCTATGGACAGTGCTGGGCTGGGTCAGAAGCAGGGCAGGAGACAGAGAAAGGGAGAAACGAGCTGAGGGCTCCGGCGGTAGGGCTGCCTCTGTGAGGAGACCAGGGCAGTGCGGGAATGAGAGTCCAGGCCAGGGGAGCAGGGAGAGGGCTGGGTGGGCTTGGGGAAGAGGCAGAGAACCTGACCCAACTCCCAGGTCCCACCTTCCAATACTGATACTCTTGGCAATACCAGTGAGCAATTAATTGGCTGGGGTGGGGTCAGGTTCCAAGCGGAGGGAGGGGAATGCGATGGAGGAGGAACCACCCCCTCTTAGCAGGTCTCAGGGCTCTGGTCCCCCAGTCCTGCCCTTCATCCTTCAGGGACCCAGGATTCTGCTGACCCTCCTTGGTCCTGCCGTGGATCCTACCCAGACCAAGCTGGCTGCTTCCTGTTGCTCATCCAGGCTGGGCAGCCAATTAATGGGCGGCAGGGCCACCACCTTCCCAATTAGTCTTATTAGCCTCTTGCTCACCCACTGGAGCCAGGCCACCCCTGGGGGAGGGGCTGTGAGTGGCCTGTGAGTAACCAAGGCCCAGCTATGACAGGGGTCCTCAGCCCAGGCCTGTCTCCGGGCTGAGGCCCTGGTGTCCAGCACCTGCGGGCCGTCCCTGGAGCCCCCCAGAAGGGAGAGGTCAGGGAACTGGCTTTGGAGTGCAGCCTCCAAAGGTCTGCTCACTGATGACACACGTAATAGCTGTGCGGCAGGTATGGTACTTGGGCAGTGACAGCACGGCGTGGGGTGTAGATCCTTGTACCCAGAGGAAGAGAGTGGAAGCTGAGTGAAGGGTCTCAGGGAAAGGGGGGCACGGATCCAGAGGCTGTGGAGGGCTCCCAGGCGGGGTTAACCGTGCGGTGGGGGTGCGGGCCACAGCAGGTAGCCGGTACTGAAGGGAAAGTTGAAATGCCCACGTCTGTGCGTGGAGGGAGGACGGGCAGTCAGAGAGGCCAACACTGGGGAAGGCAGGAGAGCGAGGGAGCCAGGGGACTGGGCTCCATGGTGAGGGTGGCCGCCCAGGAGTGGGCGGCCTTCGGGGCAGAGCACCTGGTTCCAGGTTAGGCAACGAGGAGCCGGGGCAGGCCAGGCAGGTGTTCCCAGAGCCACGGTGCTCCACACTGCAGCCACCCCTACTGCTGAGTAGGCAATACCCAAACTGATTACTTCAGCTCCTCCCGGCCACACCAGCTTCCCCCCCCCCCCCCCC